AAACGACAGCAACTTGTCTGTTCCCCTTCCCCCAATTCCCCAGTGCTGTTCCCATCCCCCAATTCCCCAATAAAAATCTTTTTTTAAAAACCTCCGAGGGCTGGTCACCACTGTCCAACAGAGAAACGTGCAGCCCTGGGCTCCCCTGGGAGGGATTATCACTTGGCAGGCTATACCTGGGTACACACCTGGAAGCGAGCTGGCCATGCAAAGTGTCTTTTTCAATATGCATGCTTTTGAAAAGATAATAAATACTCGTGGCAAGGGTAAAAGGATGTCAGGGGGAAAACACCCCCTTAAACGCACGAACACACACAGTCTTCCCCGACCCTACTCCCGAATCTACGCACTTAGCAATTTCTCCTGTCTTCCCAGAGATGTCCTCGCCGAGATTTTTCAAGTGCACATTATTTCCACATCAAGAAAAAAAAAAAGAACCTTCGAGTAACTCTCGGGTGGAATCAGCAGGGGAGTGGAAGCACGGTTGGAAGGCCCAGGTTCATGCGACTGCATGCCCGTCCTTCCTTCCTTGAAGGTTGCCTGTCTTGGCTTATTGGAGTCCCACCCTGGGTGGCCGCACGCTTGGCTGGGTTGAAGAAGGAACCAGTGCTTGCCATCCGGGCGCCTCGAGAGCTGGAACCTAGCTGCTTGTTGGGAGGGTTCACCGTGTCTGCACACGTTGGCTTCGGCACAAGGGACGCCTGTCTCAGGACCTAGCCACGAACTGTTTCCAGAGCTCCAGCGCTGCGTGTGTATGTGGACGCCTACTAGTGTGTGTGAACGTATGCGAGACTTGTGGGACGTGTGTGCACGGTGTGTGAGAACATGTGCGTGCTCAGTGAGCACCTGTGTGCACGTGCTGTGCGCTTTGTTCACACGCTGTAAGGATGTGTGTACACCCTATGAGAAACTGCATTCTGTGTATAACGCTTTGAGTATGTGCACTGTATGGGGACCTCTTATATTGGTGTGTGCACGTCGTTTGTGCGTGCTCTGTGATGAGCACACTGCAAGTGCATGAGGTGTACGCCTGTTGCATGAGGACCGGTGTGCTCATCGCATGTGCACGCGATGCGCGTGCGCGGCATAAGAACCGGTGCGCACATCGCCCGTGCACGCTGTGTGAGGACGCGGACGCGTGCGGGTGCGCGCGGGGCTGGTGCGGCGCGGCGCGGCGGCCCAGGCAGTGCGCCTGTGCGGCCCTGCATCCCGATGGAGCGCGGCGGAGGCTGCGGGGAGGGAGCTGGGACGGAGGGGACTGCGCGGGGGCCTCCGCTCCCTGGGAAGATGGCCGAACCTAGCGCGGTGCGGACGTCGCCGCCCAACCACCGGCTTTCAGGTAGGGTCCCCGGGGTGCGGCGGGCGCCTGGGGGCTTCAGGTTCCCGGGGTGGGGCGGGGCGGACCCGCCGCGGGCCGTTCAGGGCCACGGCTCTGGGACGCGCGGGGCAGAGACGTGGCGAGACGGTTGGATAAACGTCCTTCCTCCGGCCCGGGGTCGGTAGGGCACGGGATGGAGGGCCGCGCCTCTCGCGGTGCGGGTGGCAGAATCGCCCTCTTGCCGGTCTGAGTGACTGGGTGCGCTTGAGGGTGGCTTAAGGTGGGTGAAAGTGTGTTTGGCGTGGGGTGCCGAGGCCCACGCTTGATGCCTTGGGGAGGGCTGCCCCTCCTCGCGAGCGGCTGGCGTGGGGGTCACTGAGGCCGACGGAGCGGGCTCCGGGGTTCGCCCAGGCCTGCGCGCCCGCGCACTCTGCGTCTAGGGAAACGCGCGAGCCGCTGCTGCAGCCTGCCTCGAAGGTAGCCCAGCTGCGTGCTTTGCGGCATCCCCAGGGGGCAGAATCCGCGGGTTACACACCGGCAGGGGCGGATGGAGCGCCGCCTGGGCGGCCGGGTGCGATCCCCGAGCTTGGTTCCCCTGCCTCCCGCGTGCGCTCCCCGAGACCTCGGGTGCGCTGCCCAGGGGTCTGGCGGGGCCGCGGCCCCCTCACATGGCAGCGCGACGCATGAGTTTCCCAGCCCGCGTGGCTGCGGCTGCTTGGAGCTGTATAAGGCTGGTCCCCGACTGGCTGCCTAGAAATGAGAGGAGCAGGGGGAGATGTTGAGGACATTTGTCAGAATTTTAGATAGGCAGGTCTCGCGTCTTCTAACGTTCTGAAAGTAGTTGCAGGTAGTATGGGGGTGTAAGCAGCGTGGAAATTGATTTCAATCTCTTTTTCTTGGCAACACCTTTTTTTCTAAGTTAATGTGAGCTATTTTTAAAACACTTTTCACTGCAGTATAACATGCATACCACAGAAGTGCACATCTTAAGTATAAGATTCAAGGAATTAACCCCTAGTGAAGGTCTGCACATTTTATATAAGGTGTACCAAGGAAGGGAAAGAAATCAAGGGAAAGTCACTTAGAACATGCTTTTCATTAGGTGTGTGTGTGGGGGGTATTTGTGAATCAGCCTTCATGTGCATCATTCATAGGGGGAGGAGGTGGCGTAAATCTTTCCCAGTTTGCAGTTTTCGTCATGCATTTTATAAGGCAGAATTTAACAAATTTGTCAGGATAGTGCTTCAAGAACTCTGCTGCATCTGCTACGGAAGAACCCAGAACCCACTGTGGAGGATGCAAAAAAACCCAAAAACCAACTTTCCCTCCACCTTCTAAATTCCCCTGGCTGGGCTAATAATCAGATTAACAGGAAAAAAATGTACAAAGTTTATCACGGATGTACATACCTCAGTGTCAAAAGATATGAGACCCCAAACACATTGGGCAGTTGAGGCTTCTGTTACCATTCTGGATAAGGCGGAGGGACAGGGGTCTGGGATTCCAAAGGGGAAGTAGGTAATTCACTGGTGGGAGAAAGAGCAAACATATTGTAAACAAATTCTTCCTGGGCCATCCTGATACAAGGGACACAGAGGGAAACAGGCTTTGCTGGATTTCTTCCTGTTCATCATGTGTGCTCATTCATATGCTGATTCCCTTCCTTTAAGCAGGTTTTTCTATCTGAATTCCTTTAGGCAGGAAGTGGGGGAGGGGTTCTTTCTGACTTTTTTGTTTCTTAATAACCAGCTTAAATCAATATCCCAAAAAGGCATTGGGGTGGCAAAACTTTGGTCCCTCTTACCACCCACAAACCCATCAGAACCAGCCTTGGAAGAGGGAGACCTAGTAGAATAAAACATTGGAAAGGGGAGGTGTTGAAACTCACATTTTTATTTGGCTGGGAGTTATTTAATAGGTTATTTTGATATTTTAGAGGCAGGGAGGGCCTGTATGATCGGGTCTGAAATTTATTTGTGGGATTTTAATCTGTGTGAAGGAACTTAATAAGGAGAGCATACTTACTAAGTTCTGGTTGGAAACTTTATTGTAGAAGCATTTAATACACTCTCTACTGATATTAAGATCAGCTTAAAGCCATTTTCTTTCATTTGAAGTTGGAAATATGGAAAGATGTGTGAAGGTTTATTTTTTATTTATTTATTTATTAGCTGAGCCATCCTGCTACCTGTTGGTAGCTCAGTGGCAGCTCAGCTCGGGCCGGGCATCGAACCGCTTTTGCTCAGAGCTCAAGCCCTTGAGTGAGCTCTTAACCAACTGAGCCACTCGGCTGGCCCTGAAGGTTTAAAATATTAAATAAACTTCTATGTGCATTAGGGTTAGTGTGGAAAAATTAGAGTGTTCAGTTTAGGCCAGTAGTACCATGGTCTGTTTTTTTGAAGGGTTCGTGAGGTCAGGTACTTAGAAAAATAATGTCACCCTCAGAAAAGTCTTTTTTTTTTTTAAAGATTTTTATTGGGGAATTGGGGATGGGAACAGCACTGGGGAATTGGGGGACGGGGAACAGACAAGTTGCTGTCCTTTTGTTCTTCAGTCTAGTTGTGGAGGACTTGCTTCACTGGCCCAAGTTGGCACCATCATTGCGCTCTTCCTGGGCGAGGCAGATCAGTCGCCGGCTTCTAGACGGCCGCTCACTGCGGCTGCT